TCGTGGGCAGGGCGGGGGGGCCACAGCCCCCGGGGCTCGGCGCTCCCGCTGGCCTCCGACCCGGCCGTTCTGGGTACCGTGCTGCGGTCACCGCGACAGCGGCCACTGCGACACCTGGACTCCACCCCTCTTTTTTAAAGACCATGTGCATAAACCACGTAGAGGCTCCCGAGCGCAGCTCCTCGCCGGGCCGTGAATCTCACCCTCGGTCAGAAACCACATTCCACAGTGACCCGTGGAGTGACTTTCACTTCCGCTTCCGGTGCCGGTCCTGCCCTTCGGCGCCCGGGAATGACGTAAAGGGGCACTGGCCGGGTTTCTCCCGCTGCTCCGGTCCAGGGCAATCCCGGTGGGTTTACTTCCCTGCCGGTCTCTGTTGCCCCGGCCTAGGGCGTTTCGGCGCCCACCGCGGGATGGGAACCTGGTGTCGCCTCCTTCGCGCTCGTGTCTACACTGGCCCTTTCACGCCACCCGAGCTGTGGAGAGGTGGGCAGTGCCCCCGCGATCGCGCATCCAGGACGAGCTACACCCTCGGCCTAACGACCTCCCTGCGGATGCCCTGAGACCTTTTTTCTGTTTTGACGTCCTCCAAGTTATAGGCAAACTCGCGTTCTTTTCCTGGGGGACACAGTCTCAGGTCAGCCCGAGGCCCAGCCTGCCCTTGGCGGCTGCCGGGACTGTGGGGTCTTGGCTGAAAACAGGGCAGCACTGCTGGCAGCTGAAACGCCCGCGAGCGCTCTAGAGCAGCAAGCGCTTCCCGTTTTTGGCGGGAGGGACTGGTTTCGTGGATTGGGAGGGGATTGTTTCAGGATCATTCAAGCGCATTACAATTATTGTGCACTTTATTTCTGTTATTACATTGTAATGTTGGGTCGTCGGAAAAGTCGTGACGCATTTCTGCGTCGCAAAACACAGAAAAATACTTCACGACTTTTCGAACGTCCCAGCGTGAACTAAGTCTACAACTCACTACAATGCTGTATTTGCAGCCGCTTCCCAGTGCTGGCATCACCACCTCAGCTCTATCTCAGATCATCAGGCAGTAGGTTCTCATAAGGACTGCAACCTGGGTCCCTCACACATAGTTCACACTAAAATTCATGCTTCTGTGAGAATTTAATCCTGCCGCGGGTCTGACAGGATGGGGAGCAGCTGTAAATACAGATGGAATTTCGCTTGCTGGCTGGCTGCTCGTCTCCTGCTGTGCAGCCTGTTTCCTAAGGGCCACAGACCCATTGGGGGACCTCTGCTTTAGAGGTCATGAGCAGATATTTTAATCTGTACACACACTCACTACTCTGTAACTTCCTCAGATGTGCTTTCTAAAACTGCATTATTCTCTAGGAAGACCAAGAAAATGACTACATTGCCAAAAGAGACAGAGAAAGATGATGAGAATTTCCTAAAATTCCTTCTTGGTTGTCAGAGGATGAATCTATTTCTTCATCTTGTCTGCCTGAGGCTTGGTGGTTCTTTGTGAATTCTGTTCAGTCCTGACCCAGTCTCACTTGAATCCATCCCTTGCACTCCTCTCTACCTGACCCCAACTAGGTCATTCACCAACAAATTAATTGTTAACACAGGTTTAAGTCTTCAGTGATGTGTGCTGTAAGGGAAGGGCACAAATGACTGACATCTCACAGGCCTGGAGAAAGAGACCAGGGAAGACTTCCAGGAATAAAGGACTCCTTGCTTCCCTGAAGAAGGAAGCAGGAGGAGGAGTGGGAGAAAGACACACCAGTGAGAAGAGAGCAGGAAGTGTAGTCAGAATCTCAGGCTCTGAACAACTACACAGACTGTTATGACCATAGTGAGAAAAGTTTTCAGTTTGTTAAAGTACATTTGCCTGCAAAAGTCTCCATACTCCTGCTTTAGTTTCCATAAGCAAACTACAACCTCACTTGAGAAACTACTTCTTGGGACCAGCAGATGGCGTAATGGCTATGTCACTGGACTCCCATGTAGTCCACACCATTTCTTACGGTGCATGTTTCATAGCAATGAATTCTTTGTTGGTTTGTCTAGAGATGTTTTTATTTTGTCTTCATTTGTGAAGATTATTTTTGCTGAATATTGAGTTTAGTTGACAAATTTTCCTTTAGTGAGCTAAAAGATTTGCTTTCCTTTTTTTCTACTATTTATATTCTAGTATGTTCTATTATTTCTAATTGGAAATCAGGTTTAATTTATATTTCTGTTTCCTGTATATGTGCGTCTTTGTCTCTGGCTACTCTTGAGATTTTCCTTTGTTTTTGGTACAGTTTGACATTTGATGTGTTTAAATAGTTCTTGTCAGTTATTTGTCTGGTTTAAGGTTTATTGAGATTCTCTAATTTGCAAACCAAGATTTTTAATTAAATTTGGAAACTTTGGGGACCAGCAGATGGTGTTATGGTTACATTGCTGGACTCCCGTGTAGTCGACCGTGGTTCAAGTCCTGGATCCAGTGGCTTAAAACTCACACCAGGCATATGTGCTTATGTGCACAATATGCTGAGAGGAAAATGGAGGAGTCAGGATTGTGGCCATTCCTCATAGGAGATGATTTCTTGCTTTCTGTCTTTCTGTCTCTTTTATCTCTCTTGCAAGTGCTGTCCCGACCCGGGGGGACAATCGAACAGGTTTCCTGAGGGAAGGAGTGAGAGCCGGGACAAGCAGCACGGTGTTACAACACAGAGACTACGCAGAGTCAGGGTCGTCCTTTTATTGTGGGCAGCATGGAGATGACACAGTGCCACAGCCCCTCAGGGTTGTCTGGAGACGACATGGTATCACAACTCTTCAGGGTCATCCGAAGACGACGCAGTGTCACAACTCTTCAGGTTCGTCCAAAGACGACGCGGTGTCACAACTCTTCAGGGTCTTTCAGGTCGTCTGGAGATGACAGTGTTACAACTCTTCAGGGTCTTCAGGGTCGTCTGGAGATGATGGTGTTACAACTCTTCAAGGTCTTCAGGGTCGTCTGGAGATTGTGGGCCAGGGGTCGTGGTTATATACATGCTGCTGGGCAGTGATTGGTTGAATGAAGGATTGTAAAAGGTGGGTTATGATTGGTTGCTTCTGTGGACCAATCATGAGGTGCCGGATTATGCAAATCTGAGGGATTCTAAGCTCACCGATTTGCTATGGGAAGTGGCCAGAGTATGGTTTTGAAGGTCAGGTTTTTTTGAAGGGAACCAATTGTGGCCTTTTTGGGAAGTAGCCAATCAGAGTATGGTTCTGAAGGTGAGGTTTCTGAAGGGGAGCCAATCATGGCCTTTGGCATTGTGTAATTGTTTGCTTTCTGAGAAACCCGCAATATTCGCTGGTACGCAGCCTCCCACAAAGTTCATGTACCCTAAAAGCAAAACTCTATAAATAAATAAATAAATATTTGGGAACTTTGGTTGTCATCTCTTTAAATAACTTTTTAGCCCCTTTCTCAATTCTTTCTACTTTGAGTCTTCAGTTATACATATGTTAGACCATTTGGTGTTGTCCCATATTTCACCGAGGCTCTGGCCAGTTTTCATCAGTATATATATGCTTTCTTTTTTTTGGGAGAGGTTTTTGTTTTGTTTGTTTGTTTGTTTGTTTTGCTACAGGGCGTGTGTGCTCACCAGAGAGACAGAGAGACAGAAAGCAAGAAATCACCCCCCAGGGGGTTGGCCACACCACAATCCCTTCTCCATTCTCCTCTCAGGATCTTGGGCACGCACACACACATTCCCGGCGTGAGTTTAAGTCACTGGGTCCAGGACTCGAACTGCGGTTGGCTACATAAGAGTCAAGCGACATAGCCATTATGCTGCCTGCTGGTCCCCTCAGTATATTTTTTAAAGAGATTTTTTGCTACAGGGTGTGTGTACTTGCTGGAGAGACAGAGAGAGACAGGAAGTGAGAAATCACCCCCAACAGGTTGCAGTCCCTTCTCCATTCTCCTCTCAGGATCTTGGGCATGCACACATGCACACCCGACATGAGTTTTAAGTCACCAGGTCCAGAACTTAAATTGCAGTTGACTATGTGGGAGTCCAGTGATGGAACCCTTATGCCATCTGCTGGTCCCATCCTCAGTACTTTTTTTCTTTTTACTAGACTAGTTAATATCTAGAGACCAATTTGTAGTTTATAGAACTTTCTTTAGCCATCTTCAATCTGTCAAACCTATCTAATGAATTTTTAAAAATATTTTTACCTCTGCATTTTTTATTGACCTCTTGGTCCCCAAGGGCACCCTGCTCCTGCTGTCTCAGTGCTTCAAAACTTTGGTGGTGTTGGTCTCAGACACCACCTTGCTATCCACCATCCTGTGGGTGGTGGTCTTCTGGATGGTCTGCATAGATTTGCTGCTGCCCAGGGTATTACCGAGACTGAAGTCCTCACAGTCTTCCTGCAGGTGGCAGTAGGTGGCATTCTCTCAGCTCCAGCTTGACCTTGATGTTCAGCAGAGCTTGTATTCCTGGGCCTGGTGCTACCCTTCTGCCCGGGTCTGTGCCAGCTCTGACTCCAGGTACAGCAGGACTCTGTTGAGCTGCTCCATCTACATGACATAGTGGGCCTCCACCTCTCACTTGGAGAAGCTGTTCTCCAAGCTGGCCTTCAGATTTCTCATTGAGTCCAGCTCAATCTCCAAGTACTGGACTGTGCACCTCAGCTCTGAGAGTGTTGATTCTGTAGCTCCAACCTTGGTGGACTGTGAGGTGACCACTTTGGTGCTCTCCTCAATCTGCTGGGACCAGTATTTGTCCAGCTTTTCTTGGTTCTTCTGAGCCAACTTCAGATTGGGCCCAAATGTCTGCCATGATCTTGCTGAGGTCTTGAAATTTGGGAGCAAGGCCAGCAGATGGCATAGCAGATACATTGCTGGACTCCCACATAGCTGACCCCGTTTCGAGTCCTGGTTCACTGGCTTCAAA